CTCCTCCAGGCCTCACACGTGACAGGGTCCTGGGTCTTAAAATGGAGTAGGATGACCCCAGGAGAGGTGTTTTCGCTCATCTCTGGCCAGGCAGTGCATTCCCCACGTGGACCCTGTATCTGAGTGGCCCCAGCTTCACCCTGCCTAGGACACTGCAGAACCTGGGGCTGCCTCAGTTTCCCCACTGACCCTTTAGTATTCCAGCGATCCTTGGAGGGAGGGAGCACACAGAGAAATAGAGGGTCACAATGACAAAGAGAAGATCCCCACTCACTGCCTTCCCAGCCTCCCCTGGGCCAGGCTGGTGGCAGCTCCATGGATGAGAGGGCCCTGCTGGATCTGGGAGTGGTGTCCTGGTTTAATACCACATTGACGCAACATGAGGCACCATCCCCCTTGAGCTGCTCTCCACAGCCTCCCTCAAATACACTCTCGCCCCCCGCTTGGGCAGCATTCATACAAAATTAACCGGAGGTTCTGTTTCACAACACTCTGAAGTATCCAGTTGCCACCCCACCTTCCTGCTTCCCCATCTACTCTATCCCCCTTCTTCCCTGAGTCATGCAATGCAGGGAGCACCCAGTGGGACCTGTCTGAACTGCCCCTTCTGACAGCCCGAGGTGCGGGCGTCAGGAGGGAACAGGAGGGCAGGCATGCCAGCGGCTCAGGGCAGTGCCCTCTGGGCTTGGGGAACTGAAGCCAATTGTTCCATGGGTGACACAGGGTGTCCTGTGTCCTGTCCCCAGGCTGCAGCCTTCCATCTCACACAGGGAGGGGCACAGGGTACCTCTCACCTCTTCTTTCCTCTCCCTTCCTTCTGTCCATGAACATTTCTCAATCCCCAAGGTACTGCACCAAGTGTTGGGGACATAGTGGAAAATGACAAGCAGCTCTGACCCCAGGGCCTCATAGGCCACCCCAAAACCCATTGCCCATCTTCCAGACTCATCAAGAAGCCACGTACTCTGGGAAGCCCACTATAATAGCACATTAACTCTGCACTGTCTTATTTAATTGCCTAATTCATTCATGGAGATGGGGCTCATGCATGGTGTTTTTTAAAAGAAATATTTGGATATAATAATAGCAATGATAGTGAACATCATTTGTGAGTGCCTAGGGCATTAAGCCCTTCACGTGGATTATCCAACTTGATACAACATCCCATGAAGGAGGTAGTGTCATTATCCCCTTTTCACAGATAAGGCAACTCAGGCTCTGAGATTAAATGGAACCTCCGTTGCCCCCACCCAACAGCCCAGTGTCTTCTGAAGAGCAAGCCAGTTAGGATTTGAACCCAGGTCTCTACTCTCCATTCTGGAAGGGTGTAGAATGAAAGGAAGCAGAATCTTACAACTGCCGTATTTGCCCAACCGTTATCACCAGTCAGGCCTTCAAGTGGAGAATCTACCACTGCCAGGCTGCAGGACCTGAGCCCATGGCCTGTGCTGGCAGCAGGTGGGGCCCTGGGTGAGCTGATTTCTCCTCTCATGGTGTCAAACACCCTCTATCGCTTGCAGAGATCTTTTTGCCTAAAATTAGCTGGATGTGCACGGGAAGGCTAATTTATGCATGGCCCAGAGCAGTTCCTCTAGTGTGACTCAGAGGCTGGCTCCTTGTTCATGTCAGCAGATTAGGGGCAGCGAGTAGAGGGAATGGCCAAACTGAGTCCCTGGCTGGAGTTGGTACAGCCCCAGTCCATGTGGCTTTTAAGCCGGAGGCCAAGCATTTCTCTAAGTTGGAAGAAGGCCAAACAGGGCAATAAATGCTGAACGTGAGAGAGAATGAAGTTCCTTGAGGGCCCCACGTACCCAGCCATGGTCAGGCAGAAGGGCTTTAGAGCTACTCTGGGCTGAGGGCACACCTAGGTGCCATGTCTGATGGAGCCGTGTTCAGTCTGATCTGCCGTGAACAATAGCGGTAACCTCCAGCCCTCATACACCCCATCTGTAAAATGGGATAACAACACCTCCTTCCAGAAACATGCATAATAAGGATGCAGAGCAGCCTAGTTAGAAGGATTGCCCCATGTGCGGACACTGATTAGTGTTCTGGAACAGTCAGATTCCACCCTTAGTGGAGAATGTGACTGCTTCTCCAAAGTAATGATAATCATAATGAAAACAACAAGGGTTGACATTTTCTGAGCACTTAGATATGGGGCACTTGGCCTAGTCTCAGTCAATGTTCACAACCCATTTTACAGATGGGCACATGGAGGTGTTCAGTCTCTGGGACTGAATCCTAACATATAGCATCACCCATGTACCAGGTGTTGTTCTAAGCTACTTCATCTGTCCTCACCACAACCCTGTTAGTCACTATCTATTATTATCCCATTTTACAAGTGAGGAAACTGAGGCCCAGAGGGGTTGAGTTATTCCACAGCTGGCAGAGCTGGGATTTGTACCCAGGTTGCTCAAGTCTGGGGTCTATAGCATGATGCTCTTTTGATTCTCCCTAAACCTCCTGGACCCACCTGCACCCTGGGAGAACCTTCTAAGGACCAATACAGCAGGGGCCCTGATTAATCCCACTACAGGCTTTCCTCCTCAGGGATCTTTCTCATTTGGTCCTCATGAAAAATTCGGAAACCAAGGCTTGGCCCAAAGACATACACGTAATTGAGAGGTGCAGAGCAATATTCAGAGCTGTCATTATCCTTCCCATTTTGAAGATGAGAAAACTGAGTCTCCTTTATTTTTCACATTATGCCTAACTTCTTGCAGGATACCAGTACTGAGTGGAATTCCATCTAAGAAATGCTGCTACATGCTTTTCCTTCTCTTTCCTCCACAGCCAGGTTCAAATACCTCTACCTCCAGGAAGCCTTCACTGCCCACCCACCTCACCTTTCCTTTGAGCTCTGTACTCTGGAGAAGCTGATGTTTTGACTGCTCAACTGTCTGAGCTACTCCCCATGGGCTAGGGACTCAGTGCTCATATCTCAGTTTTACTGGGCAGTTATCCTCCCTTCTCTGTGCCAGGCACCAGGCTGGCACTGGATATACAGAGAGGAATGGGCAGGATTCCTGCCCTCAGGCACATTCATGCTTCTCCAATGGCACGTGGTGGGGGATACACAGTGAACCAACTGGTAATGGCCCTGCACAGTGCTAGGGCTTGGCCATAGACCATTCAGTTTCCCAGGGTCTGAGAGCCTGCCAGGTGCGAGGCGGGGGTGGATTTCTTTTTTTTTTTTGTATCATTAATCTACAATTATATGAGAAACATTATGTTTACTAGACTCCCCCCATCACCAAGTCCCCCCCACATACCCCATCAGTGTAGTAAGATGCTATAGAGTCACTACTTGTTTTCTCTGTGTTGCACAGCCCTCCCCATGCCCCTCCTCTCATTATACATGCTAATCATAATGCCTCCTTTCTCCCTGCCCACTTCTCCCTCCCTTCCCACCCATCCTCCCCAGTCCCTTTCTCTTTGGTAACTGTTAGTTCATTCTTGGGTTCTGTGAGTCTGCTGCTGTGGGAGGGTGGACTTCTTAACCCAGGGTCCATGGCCTAACTGTGAGCGGCTGTGAATATGCTGAGAGTGTGAGCCCCATCTGTTGCACGTGGTTGGCCGTTTTTCTGAGGAGAAAGGCCACAGCTTCCCTCAGGTGCTCCACAGGGTCTGGGGACCAGAGACACTTAAGAATTCTTGACTTCAGAGAATCTCCTGGTCCCATTCAAAAAGCAAAAGTCACTGGGGCAACCCTGCCCCCTAGCAGGCTAGGTGTGTCAACCTGATGCAGGGGTGACCAAAGGCCATTCTGCCACAGGTAGGCATTCACGTGAGGCTGAGGCCCAGGAGCTGCCGGGAAGGGTCTGCTCCCATCTCAGGGTCACACATAGCTATTCCCAAGTCCTGAGCTAGAATCACACAGTGAAGAAGGGATGCTTCCTTTATTTCCATTCTCCCCACTAAAACAAAGAAGAAAATGTGTTTCTAAACTTCTGCTGGCTCAGCACATGCGCAGAACATCAGCAACAACAGCCAGTTTGGGAAGAAGAGCCAGTCTTAGCTTTTCTTCCTGTCCCAAGAAAGGAGGGCCCAGATGAAGAGGGACAGATACCCAGAGCCACTGGGTGCAGTGGGTGTAGGCATGGCAGCCTGGTCCCAGCTCATCAGTGAGGTCTGTGGCAGCCTCTATAGGAGCTGTGCCCAGGGCAGCACCAGGACAGGGGACCTGGAGCTGTCAGATGGTGTGGGAGGGACCTCCAGCTTCAGACTTCTCATTTGTCTTATGAGGATAAGAATTTGGCTGCTGGCTGCCTGCCTCCCAGATTGTGGTCTATACCTGGGGGAGGGATTGTCATCCACTATTTGGAATAATAATGCTGCCACTTATTGAGCACCTACTGCATGCCTAGGCTTCTATTAGGCACTATGAGGTAGGTATCGCCCCATTTTCCAGAGGAAGAAACTGAGGCTCAATGCAGCCTCTGCACAAAGTTGCAGGATTGGGGAATGCCAGGGCAAAGCCTCATACCCATACTTTTGGGATTTATGTAGGTAACTCTTTTCCCTCACGGACAGGGGAAGTAACTGTGGGGATAGGGACCCTAACTCTGAGCTCTGGTGCTCCAGCTGGGTTGGTTTCCCTCCTCTCTGTCCCATGGCACCTGACCTGGCTTCGGTCCCCTTCAGAGGGCCCTCCAAGAAACTGAAACCCTCTCTCACTGGAGAGTCTGGGCCTGCTTATTTTGAGAGTTGCACGAAAGCCCCACACCCCACTCCAGAGCAAGACACCCATGAGCGTCTGTCTCCTTTCCTGTGACAGCTCATCGTCCTGCCTGCCCTGTCTTCCCAGCAGCCTAGAAACCCAGGGATCCCCAATCAGAACCTGCTTTTGGACAGACATGATCCAGCCCAGTGACAGGGGTTGGGGAGCTGGAATTGGCTGCATGGCGACAATGCTCAAGCCCGGATTGGGGGTTTCCTGGAGCTGGGGAAGTTTGGGGCTTGGTGGCTGAATCCCCAAATCCAACCACACCTACCTTCGACGGGTGAGGTTTTGAGGTGTCTGCAGATGGCTTCAGTGTCCCCATAAGTCTCCTTGATCTTGACCACAGCCTCGGTGCCCCGCAGCTCCATGAGGGAGCGGAGCTCCTCCATCGTGCACCCGAACTCGCCCCCATGGCTCGACTCATTTCTTTGGTTTTTGGAGTAAAAGTCGCTGTTGGTCATGTCACCCATGTTTGCCACTGTCCCTGCTCAGGGTGGGCCCGAGGGTCAGCACTGGATGAGAGGCTGCTGGGTGATGGCTCCGTATGGCTGTCCTCAGTACAACCTCACTGGACGGCTGTGGCACCTGGTGGCCAACTCCAGGTCCCAGGGAGAGGGGGCGGCCGAGGTGGGCTGCTGACAGCGGTGGTGAGCTCCAAGGGGTGTCCCCAGGTGTGGGGTAAGGTCCAGGGACCAGAGGGGCTCAGGGTTGTAGACCCAGGAGTCTCCATTCAGTGGGTCCCATGCTGCTCCCGGAGCTGGCATCTACATGGTCAGGGGTGGTAGCTCCTGTAGGGGCAAGCAGAGTGGTGACAAGGGTCAGGCACTGGAGGCCTCAGGTGACAGGAGCTTAGGGAAGCGAGCTTGCACAAGCTTGCACATACACACAACCTGTCCCCCAAAATAAGACCTATTACACATGCACATACTCTAACATGGTGTTTCATACAATACCCACAACACACACTGCAAATCCAAACGTACCAGCGCCCACAATGAAACACATCCTAACCCCCTAATTGTCCACTGTGCTATGGAACACACTGGCTTCACAACACACACCCTGGTGTATACACATGCACTGACACACACAGCTCAGGGTGCCCTGCAACACCCAACCCACCCACTTTTAGGACCTATCCCGCCGCCATACATACATGGCTCCCACTTCACACACACCCTGGTGGACACCTCTCTCCCTACCAGGCACAATCTCACACAACCACATTTCTGGGTGTACATGTTAACATCCCTAACTTCTTCCCCCAAAAATACCTGTGCTCACAGCCTTGTTTACAAACATGATGTGCCCACACAACCTGGGGCATACCTGCTCCTCCAAGTACAGAGCTCCAGGCCCACCTATAGCCTATAAATACACACTCAGGTCTCATGGGGCAGGGGATGAAAGAAGGTTCCCCACCTCCACACAGAGCTCCCAAGCACAGTAATCAAGGCCCTCGGCTTGACCAGAGAAGCCAGCTCATGCATATTCACCAGGACATCGCTGAGCCCACAGCTTGGCCCCGAGGAGCAGCTGGGGTCCACGGAGCCCTCACCTGGGGGCCCCCACAGCCCAGCACCACTGACAGCAGCCACCACAGCCCTTGGGGAGCCCAGCAGGAGGAGGGAGCTTTGGCTTCTTCCTGCCCGTCTTGCCGCCCTTGCAGGAGTGCAGCATCTGTGGGCTGCCAGGAGAGAATCCAATCCACCTGGACACCCGACACCAGTGGCCAAGGCACCAGCAAGCATTGGGTGACAAAGGGCTGCTGCTGAGCTCCGCTGGGCCTGGCACAGGGACCGGCCCCACCCAGCAGCCGTGGACCACTGGCCATCCTATGTCCAGGACAGTGAGAGAGAAGGGGAGGGCAGAGGAGGACTGAGCCCCCATCCCAGCCCCAATGATCTCCCTCTTGTCTCTTTTCCCCTGCCCCATCTCTTTCCTTCACAATCCTCTTCTCTTACACAGAATTTTAGAGCTGGAGGCATTTTGGAGTCAATCTCATTTTCCTATAAGGCACCTGAAGCTCAGAGAGGTAAAGGAATTTGCTCAGAGCGACACAGAGCAAGAGTGGAGGGAGCCCAGAGGGGGGCTGGTCTCCTGTCTCCCAGCTGGTTGCTCTTTCCCTTTCCTTAGGGGGCGCTCCCTGCTTTCTCTCTGAAGAGCAGAGGAAGGTGAATGGACTGTGCCTAGAGATGGTCAAGAACACAGTATCTCTCAGAGCAACCCAGCTTACATCTGAGCTTTCTCAGATGGTGGCTGTGGGACCATGGGCAAGTTCCTTCACTATTCCAAGGCTTGGTTTCCTCATTGGTAAAGCAATAATCATTCTCTCCTGTCTCACACTATCCCTCAATTTTCTGGGAATTAATTATGAACCATGTTCAAATCTGGTGTGTTTCCACCTGGGACGCAGGTCTTCCCTGACATGCGTCAGGTGTATCATGCCTCACAGGAGGGCACTTTTCCTCAAGGATAAAGTAGAAAACCTTATTTTTACACTGGGACCAACAGCTGTCGTAGGGAGTAGAACATACCATTGAGGCATCCACCTGATGCCTCAGCAGAGACACAGGACACCAAAGAAAGTGAGTGCTTGGGGCTCCCACCCAGAGTCCTGCAGGAACGCTCACAGTTTTTAGCCAGCTGAGCACGCACCACCCCCAGAGGCCATGAGTTTGGCCTCGGTGGTGTCTCACTGGGAGGGGCAGATGATGCAGGGGCCAGGCATGCCTGTGTGCAGAGATGCTGCGGAGGTTAACTGGAAGGGCTCTTGAAAGCCAGTTTATGAATTCAAATTCTAGCTCCTCTAGCTCCCAGCAGAATGGGATGCAAATTAACTTTAGTTTTATTATTTTAAATGTACACATATGACATACACAGCCCAGGGTGCCCTGCTTTACCTAAGAGCCCTAAAAAAAGGGAAGGGGAATAACAGTATCTAGTTCATATGAGGCTTAAATGAGTTATTTCATGTCAGATACTTAGAACTGAGCCAAGCACAGAGTAAGTACTTGGTAATTATAATTATATATGTGATTATTATCAGTCCATAGAAGTGCTTTATGAGATAGCAGTCCTGTTATTCTCATAGCACACATGAGGAAACTGAGGCCAGCAGAAGTGAAGTGACTTGCCTAAGGTCACACAGCTAGTGAGTGGCAGAGCCAAGACTGGAACTCGGGCAGTGGATCCAGAGACACTCTGGGTCCGGACACTTTGTCGCCTCTTCTGGTACTTTTCCCTCATGGGGTTTGTATGATCCTCAGGTGAAGTACAGTATGTGAACTGAAAGTGCTTTGCAGACCACAAGGGACTTTCTAAACTCAAGGTGCTGTTTTCTATCTGTCCCCCTGCTACCTGCGGCATGGCTTACAGGCACTGATAATTACATGTTACAGCACTGCTGTGAGAATTGTTATCAGTAATTATATTTGTGATGATAATAGTAGGCATGAGTTTGTGTGTTACTGGAGATCTTAATGACTATCATGTTAGGATGAACAATGTTCTTCAACTATCCATCCATCCATCTGACCATCCATTCAATAATTGTATTTTGGGCACCTACTTCATGCAAGGCCCTGGAAAATCCAGACATGGTCCCTGCTCTCCTGACAGTGGGGAAGAGAGACAATGAAATGAATGACTTCTATAAGACGATGGGTTTGCCATGACATGGAGATCCCTGCTGCGAATGTCCAGAGCAGGAAGGTCTGAGCTGGCCCAGGGTGTCAGGGAAGAATTTTCCTCTCAGTATGAGTAGAGAATATTTTCCCCCCTACAGGTTAAGTAAGACTTAAGTCAAAAGATGGACATAAGAGAAACTGAAACACACAACTGTCTGTTAGTAAAAGTCTGGAGGGGCATAGTAAAAAAGGTAAAGGAAGGGACCAGTGTAAACATTTATGGATTTATGGAGGCTGAAACTCTCGTATAACAAAATTAGTTGAAATCAGAACTCTGCCCCTGTAGGTGACTTATCTTAAACTCCCTTCTTTGCGATATTCCACTGCAGCTACCTTTTCCAATGTGGCTCTTACCCAGCCCCTCTCACCCCTGGCTCCTGCATCTCACATGGGCATGCATGAGACCACCCTGTTCTGGGCATCTTTGTCCTTCTAGGTTGAAGAGCTCACTCTGGTACTTGATCTTACTGTGGGGTTTGCTTGATTTGAGAGTGTGAAGTCCACTGGCACAGAAGCACTTGTATGATGCCACACAAATGATCTTCTGACAGACACAGCTGAAGACCTAGACCTGGTAGTTTGTACAGAATCCATCATCTGACTGAATCTCCATATCTGCCCATCCCTATAGTAGAGCACTCTCCAGTACCCAGGCCTTCACTGCCCTGACAATGGTCTTTGCTGCTCAGCAGAGTGTTTTTTCCTTGGAAGCCCTTCCTGACCACCCAGGACTGTGCAAATGCTCTTGACTACTGGCTGCCCCCCGTATCATGCCACCGCGTGCACTGCACACTTTATTGCCGTCTCCCTTCCCCAGGAGCCTGAGAGCTCTGTGTGGTCAGTAGCCATGTCTATTTTGTACTTAGTACGGTGCCTGCTATTCAGAAAAAACTCTTGATGAATGAAACAATATCTAGATCAGCATTTAGGTCATCTGTCCATGGGAGGTGTAACTGTAAATAGGTCTTTGGACCTCAGTTTCCTCAAGTTCATATGCAGAAGGCCTAAACCCCAGTGTGATGCTATTTGGAGGTGGGGGCCTTTAGGAGGTAATTAGATGTGAGGGTGGAGGCCTCATGCATGGGATTAGTGCTCTTACAAAAAGATGCAAGAGACACATGTGAAGACAGTGAAGACACAGTGAGAAGACGGCCATCTGTAAGCCAAGAAGATGGCTCTCAGTAGAACCTGAACCTGCCAGCACCTTAATCTTGGACTTTCGTCCTCCAGAAATGTGAGAAATAAATTTCTGTTGTTTGAGCCACTCAGTCTATGGTATTCTGTTATAGCAGCCCAAGCTGACTGAGGCAAAGGCCTGGGTAGGGTGTATAGCCAGTCCTGGGCCCAGAGAGGTTGAACACACTAAAGGTCACACAGTCAAGAGGGCCCAGAACTCATTGAAAAGCCCCTCCTTGTTTTCCAAACTTCAGCTTGTGATTCCTCCCCAGGGGCCTCAGTTTCCCCATGTGGAAAGTGAAGGCATTGGACTGGTGTTCTCTGGGGTCCTTTCAGGCATTGATATTCCAGGCTCTTCGGAATCCAGGAGAACATTCTGACAATATTGGATTTATGCATTTTGGTTTCATCTTATTAGCATTTAAATGACTCTGAACTGTTACATTTCAATGACTCAAGAATAGGTTAGGGGCGCCTTAATAAAATGTCTTTGCCAGGAGGGATGCTGGCAAAGGAAGGAGCAATGTTTTTTTTTGGAGTTAATTTAACAAAGAAGGAATCTATCTTTCGAAGGAAGGATTAAAAAAAAAAAAACAAAACTCAAA